GAGAAATTTTGCAATGGCGCAGTTGTAAATTGAAGCGGATTCGTTGGGATTAAAAAGCTATTAAGCAAAGCAACCTTCTTGACTAACTAACTAAACCTGACGTAGCGCAGCTCTGCCTCCGATGATTTTCACTTTAACACAAAGTATTTGGGAATTTACCCTGTTACCGAAGAAGAAAGCATAAATTAAGCCAAGAACTAACTCCTGACAACGAAAACGGTTTCCTATCTACTGGTGAAAACGTAGCCGTGGTAACGCTGAATATTTCAACATAATATACACCACATGCCACTTCTTTGACTCTTTCGTTTCTACTATACAGTAGTCTGCGTAGGCCAGTAATAAAGCGGTGCATTTATCCATCACTAACCACCAGATAAGTTAGTTCATTAGAAAATTTATAGCCTACGTACTATTTTAAGTACGTTGTGTGTGAGTGCGACATTTCAGGCATAACTTCCATACGTCAAGGCTCAGAAGCAAACGGTTACACGCCCTTGAAAATGCGCTGTAAGGCCGTTTAATCCTTTGGGATATCATCACCAACACAATTCTCTGTGGCGCTCGCATACTCAACCCCATTGGTTCGGACCTGTTTTCCAGGCGACTGAGCTAAGGGAAACCGTAACGATCATGTTGACTGTGTTACTACATGTAATAATGCTTAAAGGAGTAGTCACTGATTTGCTCACTGGAACCGTGCGGTGATCTGTTTAAGCTATTACCAATAGCCGTTGGAAGCTAAGTAGAAGTTTAAAAATTTAATACAAGCATTTTAGTGTGCATACTGTGAAACTATTTTGGATGAATTTGAACCTCTAGTTTATAAGTTCATGCACGTTAAACTCAACCAGGGAGTCAGTACACGCTTGAAGAAGTACTGTACGGCGTATATATATTTTGTGGAAGTCAGCATGGTTTCTTGCACCTGCGTTCTTTAATGTCCCAAGCAGCAACTCGACCATTGACGGACTGCCTTAGCGCACCTAAGCAACGGTGGGCGGAACCGCGAATCGTGACTGTTACTAGAATAAACTGCGACGCTCAATATACGCCAGCTTGCAAATTGGTATCATGCAGCTGAAAGTTTGACTCTGGTACCACGTAAAATTGCGACAAATTTACCACCAGATAATAGGTCACAGCACAAGCAGTTTTCCTTTTTTAAAGTTTATGAGAATGCAAGTGTTATTCGATGTTAAAGTTGGGAACTTAACACATAAAGATCTAAGCTGACAGCCATCACACCTCAGCCTACATTTCAGACCCCAAAGCTGCTTTTCGACCGAAGGACAAAAGTGCGCACATTACAAGGTATAATAAAGCGATGCACCCTATAAACTTGCATTCACGTCAATAAGATACAGACGGAAACTCGGTCACAAAACCATGAGGTTGCAAAAAGGTACTGCATTAACCCTTTAATTTATAAAGCATCTTGCGTTGCTAAAAGGTATTTCGAAAATGCAAGTATCGCAGTTTAAAAATAGTCCATAGCCACTAATCCAATCACAAGGAAGCACACCGGTAAAACAAGATTGTACAGCTGCCAATGCATTTGAGTCATCGCAAGGAAGGTCTTTACAAGCAAGTATAAAACCAGAAGGAAAGAAAAATCGAAGTACCGAAGAAACGCGTAAAATTGGGAATGTTAAACCCAAATACGCTCTCATGGTGTCCATATAACATAATGCACACAAAAATACAATTAAACACAGTACAAAAAACAAGAATTAGCAAGACGAATAAGCAAACTCATATGGTAAGTGATAGGGAAAAAGCTAAGGCAAGGCAGGATAAAAGGAAAAAGGACAATACCATGGAAATAATCAGGGAGAAAGAAATCGTGGAGTAAGAATTAGGGTTAGAGAAAGAAAACGCATAGGTTAGAGTCAGGAAAAGTTAATCGTAGCTTTGAGGACGGATTCAGTGATCAAGGTTAGGGATAAGGTCAGGGATAGGGTAAAGGTTATGGTTAGGGTTAGGCCTTCGGGTTAGGGTTAGGGTTAGGGTTAGGGTTAGGGTTAGGGTTAGGGTTAGGGTTAGGGTTAGGGTTAGGGTTAGGGTTAGGGTTAGGGTTAGGGTTAGGGTTAGGGTTAGGGTTAGGGTTAGGGTTAGGGTTAGGGTTAGGGTTAGGGTTAGGGTTAGGGTTAGGGTTAGGGTTAGGGTTAGGGTTAGGGTTAGGGTTAGGGTTAGGGTTAGGGTTAGGGTTAGGGTTAGGGTTAGGGTTAGGGTTAGGGTTAGGGTTAGGGTTAGGGTTAGGGTTAGGGTTAGGGTTAGGGTTAGGGTTAGGGTTAGGGTTAGGGTTAGGGTTAGGGTTAGGGTTAGGGTTAGGGTTAGGGTTAGGGTTAGGGTTAGGGTTAGGGTTAGGGTTAGGGTTAGGGTTAGGGTTAGGGTTAGGGTTAGGGTTCGGGTTAGGGTTAGGGTTAGGGTTAGGGTTAGGGTTAGGGTTAGGGTTAGGGTTAGGGTTAGGGTTAGGGTTAGGGTTAGGGTTAGGGTTAGGGTTAGGGTTAGGGTTAGGGTTAGGGTTAGGGTTAGGGTTAGGGTTAGGGTTAGGGTTAGGGTTAGGGTTAGGGTTAGGGTTAGGGTTAGGGTTAGGGTTAGGGTTAGGGTTAGGGTTAGGGTTAGGGTTAGGGTTAGGGTTAGGGTTAGGGTTAGGGTTAGGGTTAGGGTTAGGGTTAGGGTTAGGGTTAGGGTTAGGGTTAGGGTTAGGGTTAGGGTTAGGGTTAGGGTTAGGGTTAGGGTTAGGGTTAGGGTTAGGGTTAGGGTTAGGGTTAGGGTTAGGGTTAGGGTTAGGGTTAGGGTTAGGGTTAGGGTTAGGGTTAGGGTTAGGGTTAGGGTTAGGGTTAGGGTTAGGGTTAGGGTTAGGGTTAGGGTTAGGGTTAGGGTTAGGGTTAGGGTTAGGGTTAGGGTTAGGGTTAGGGTTAGGGTTAGGGTTAGGGTTAGGGTTAGGGTTAGGGTTAGGGTTAGGGTTAGGGTTAGGGTTAGGGTTAGGGTTAGGGTTAGGGTTAGGGTTAGGGTTAGGGTTAGGGTTAGGGTTAGGGTTAGGGTTAGGGTTAGGGTTAGGGTTAGGGTTAGGGTTAGGGTTAGGGTTAGGGTTAGGGTTAGGGTTAGGGTTAGGGTTAGGGTTAGGGTTAGGGTTAGGGTTAGGGTTAGGGTTAGGGTTAGGGTTAGGGTTAGGGTTAGGGTTAGGGTTAGGGTTAGGGTTAGGGTTAGGGTTAGGGTTAGGGTTAGGGTTAGGGTTAGGGTTAGGGTTAGGGTTAGGGTTAGGGTTAGGGTTAGGGTTAGGGTTAGGGTTAGGGTTAGGGTTAGGGTTAGGGTTAGGGTTAGGGTTAGGGTTAGGGTTAGGGTTAGGGTTAGGGTTAGGGTTAGGGTTAGGGTTAGGGTTAGGGTTAGGGTTAGGGTTAGGGTTAGGGTTAGGGTTAGGGTTAGGGTTAGGGTTAGGGTTAGGGTTAGGGTTAGGGTTAGGGTTAGGGTTAGGGTTAGGGTTAGGGTTAGGGTTAGGGTTAGGGTTAGGGTTAGGGTTAGGGTTAGGGTTAGGGTTAGGGTTAGGGTTAGGGTTAGGGTTAGGGTTAGGGTTAGGGTTAGGGTTAGGGTTAGGGTTAGGGTTAGGGTTAGGGTTAGGGTTAGGGTTAGGGTTAGGGTTAGGGTTAGGGTTAGGGTTAGGGTTAGGGTTAGGGTTAGGGTTAGGGTTAGGGTTAGGGTTAGGGTTAGGGTTAGGGTTAGGGTTAGGGTTAGGGTTAGGGTTAGGGTTAGGGTTAGGGTTAGGGTTAGGGTTAGGGTTAGGGTTAGGGTTAGGGTTAGGGTTAGGGTTAGGGTTAGGGTTAGGGTTAGGGTTAGGGTTAGGGTTAGGGTTAGGGTTAGGGTTAGGGTTAGGGTTAGGGTTAGGGTTAGGGTTAGGGTTAGGGTTAGGGTTAGGGTTAGGGTTAGGGTTAGGGTTAGGGTTAGGGTTAGGGTTAGGGTTAGGGTTAGGGTTAGGGTTAGGGTTAGGGTTAGGGTTAGGGTTAGGGTTAGGGTTAGGGTTAGGGTTAGGGTTAGGGTTAGGGTTAGGGTTAGGGTTATGTGAGTGGATCGGGATAAGGTGAACAGGGAACAGGAATAGGGTATAGGGATAGGGTTATGTGATACGGGAGTGGATCTTTGGAAATGGTTCGAGGAAATTTGAACCACTTGAACTTTGAACCATTTAAACTTGAACTGTTTTAACTTTACTTATAAAAAAGGTGAACGGTGTTAACTGTAACCTTCTCTTTTAACATGAACTGTTAACTTTAACTTTAACGGTAAAACGTCTTAAAGGTATGTAACGGTGTCGTTACTATGAAATTTTTGGGCGTAACTTTTCGAAGCTGTGTGTTAACACATAAACTTTAACCATTGACACGAGTAAACTTTACTTAACGTTTATTTCGTTTTTAAGCTGGTCAACTTTTTACTGTTTTTGTTCATTTTTATAAAACTTCTCTTTGAAACTTTAACGTTTAAACGTAACATTTTGAACCTTTTAACTTTAACCTCTTAACTATTAAACACATTTGAAACTTTGAAACATGTAAAACTTTAACGTTAACACTAGTAACTTTAAACTTTAACTTGAACTCTCTCTTAACCTATTAACTTTAAACTTTTGTAACTTGAACTTATCACTACACATAACTTTAAACATGTAACTTAAACCTGTTTATCTTTACTTTAACCTTTAACCTTTAAAACTTTACAGCTTTAACCAAAGTTTAAGCTGTTTAACTGTTAACCGTTTAAGACTTAACTCTTCTAAACTCACTAAACTTCAACTTCTATGACCTTTTAACTTCTTACATTTTTTTTAAACATGTAATAAACGTGTTTCTAACTTTAATAACTTTTCATCAAAACTAAAAACTTTTAGGCGGGCCTTGAATTTAGTCGAGGGGGAGGGACTGGGTGTATAAGTCTTTTAAACTGGCTGGGGGACGGTGTTGTTGAGTACGCTAATATATTTAGGGGGGTAGTTAAGACTTATGTTAAGGGGGGGAAGAGGGGGGGGGCGGGAGGACGATTTACACTTTGTAATTAGGAGGAGGACGCTAGGGTTTAAAAACTTTTAACGGGGGTATCATTTATAAAGCTTTTACAAAAAAGGAAGATCTGTGGGGGGGGGGGGGGGCGGGGGGGGTTTGTGAAAGTTGATGTATATAGGATATTGTATGTAACATTTGTTGTATATACTCGCCAGAGCGTGGGGAGTGGGGGGGGAGGGGGGGAGCTTTTATTAGTGGAGTCGGGGGGGTGTGAGGAGGGCTATCTATGATTATAGAAAAGGTAAACTTTAACTTATTTGTTCACTGTGTAGTAGTATGTTTGTAAATGACAGTTGGGAAAAAAAAGGGCGGGGGGGGGGGCGGAGGGGGAACTTTTTAAAGGGGGTGGGGAGTGGACAAAATGGAATAGGCTTAAAACTTTCTTTAACTTGTAAAACTTTTAGTGAGAGGGGTTTTAAACATCTTTACAAAAGAAAAAACTACGGGGAATAAGGTGGAGGAGTTAGGGTCATATTATATATGTGATGGTGATGTGATTCTCACACAAAGTCACTTTTAACCCACTAAGGACAGGTGGGGTAGTATTGCGTGAGTATATTGTATGTTTGGCGGCGCGAAGGATTATATTCTTTCGGCTCTTGTAGGGAGTGGGAGCGTTATGTGGAGGAGATGAAGCGTTTCGGCTAAAATGTTTAGCATTGTTAAGATCGGATAAATTTACTAATAAAAAAACCAAAAGGAAGACAAACCACTAACACAAGAACTCGCACAAAAAACCCATCAAACCAAACCCACCAAACAACAACCGTCTAAACTACCTTTAACCCTCCACTAAATAAGCGACACACCAAAACCAAAACCTGCACCGGACCCCACCCCCACCCAGTCTAAAAACACCATTCACCCCCGATCCCAAAACCCCCACGCGTCAGCCCAAAAATCCATGCGACCAGGCCGCGGAAGACTAATTCGAACACGCGGCACTACACGAGGTCGTCCGACACATCACCATAACAAAAAAACACCAACAAAAACCCCAACAAAAACCACAAACAAAAACCTACCCTTAAAACCAATCCAATAAAATAATCACCCAAACCTCGACAAACATACACTCCCACCACAACAACCCCCCCCCACACTAAAAACCCACACATTTTATAGAGCTGGGGTGGGTAACCACACCAACACTTGCCACAGCCCAAAAATAAAACCTCTCTAACTATGCATTTATATGGGAGGCGGGGGGGGGTGGGGAGAGGGTGTGGTTATGTCATGAGAGACACAGGGGTGTGGGGGGGGGGGGGGGGGGGGGGGGGGGGGGGGGGGGGGGGGGGAGGGGGGGGGTAATGAGTAGAATATTACGTGGTACGCATGAGAAGTACACAGAGAAGGATCGTTTAAATGGATAAATCCTATAGCCTCATATATAACTTCTTCCTGACTAACATACCATAATCGTATCCGAGGAAAAACTACAGAATCACATACACGCACGCTCGTGCTCATTCTTCTCGTCAACAACTCACCCTCGCTGATGGGCGACCTGCCAACAGTAATTCAAACAGTAGTCGTGCCAACTCGGCTAAGCAAAAGGTGCCAAGTGTGAGGTACACCCCGGACCAGCTCGAAGGAGACTTGGTTGCAACCCAACGCAGAAACGGTTTATCCTCACGTCGTATGAATCAGTGTATGTAATCCAGTAATGCGGCCATACACTGTATTTCTTTCAGCATAAAACCTGCCACCCCGGTCCGAGACATACCATACTCGACAATTTTCAGATTATTATCATTTCCAATCCTCTCCACCCCAGCCACTCCTACATCCCCCCCCCCGTTTATTATCCCAACCACCTACCTATCCCACTATCGAACTTTCCAAATACCAACCGCCTGAGCCGTCCAATCACTTGTCGTTAAAGCGCTACACCCACACACCCCTCACCAAACCTGGGGGGGGGGGGGGGGGGAGGGGGGGGGGGGGAGGGGGGGGGTGGGGGGCATAGCCTGTATAGAACCGGAATTAATCTTAAGTACCCCTCATATCAGGAAGCCAAGAGCCATATTATACAATCAAACCTCCATCCCATGACGTGCAATCCACCTACTCTACCCGAATCTTAGACAAATATGTAGAAAGTACTCACCTTACCTCCACCGAACAACTACCCCACCCCACTGCCCTAACACCAACATACCTAGCTGTATCTCCCACGCGGATGTTGCAAACACCGATCCCGATACGCACTGTCCATGGCTCGCTCTGCATCCTCGGGAGTCTTAATGGAAGGGGCACGTGCTTTCTCTAACCCCCTACCTAACACAAAAATAAACAACTATCGGACCGTATCAACAATTGTTAATAACTTTAAATTTTATTGATCTCTCCACTCACCAATTTCCTCCCCTAAAACAACTCAATATATATATATCATCAACAGCACAAAACTAGATTGTCATTTAACCGCACTTCCTTGTGATTTCTTAACCACCCCGTTAACTAAGCGGAGGGAGGTGGGGACATAAACCTCAATGTTTTTTACAATACTTCCTTAGCGTTACCAAGCGGTAACGTCCAAGATCCATTTATTTAAATTATTACGAAACATTTAAGTATTCGGGAATAGAAAAATCATATAATGGGGTTTTGTATGGGGATTTAGTTGTTGTGGGTTTAATAAAAAAAAGAAAAGTATAAAATTTGATTTTTTGTTTTTTTGTGTTCTTTATGTATGGGGGAGGGGGGACTTATATTGATTATGTTTTGGTTGGATTAATTAGGGGGTATAATCAGAGCAATTTGTGTTGTGTTTTTTTATTTTTTTTAGAGTTTTTTGTTAATGGAGTGTAAGGGGGAGTCTCGCCCTTTGAGAGAAACAGAGACTGACTGGACCCGGAAGGGGGGGGGTGGGGGGGGGGGAGTGAGGGGGGGGAGGGTGTAAGGGGGGAGGGTGTTGTGGACGATTTATTGTTTTTTTGGTATTGATTTTATTTGTTTTTATATTGTTTGTGTTGTGGGGTTAGGGTGGTAGGTAGGTGTAATTACTAACCAATCTTTTCTTTTATAAACTCACACATTTAACACCAATTTAACAATTACTATTCTTAACGACGACTTTTTAGTTTATTTAGAGAGCGCCTGTTAGGCCAAAACTATTTTACAGAAAAGCTTTCTGAGAAGCTCAGACTCTCTCCCTCATCCACTGTTTTCATAATTTTTTTTTTTTTATTTTTGTTGTGTTGTTTTTATTTTATTTTTGTGTGTATTAAGTAGTGGAGTGGTGTTCTGTATAGCGTAAAAGCATAATTAATTTTTATAATACACACTATATATAAGTACCAGACCCAAACATATTTCCTTAACCTTGGCTTTGGTGTATTATTTTTTCTCTACTGTATTTTTTTTAACTTTAGTTATCTACGGTAAGGTTTAATTATTTTTACCTGGAGAAGAGAGCATGTGAATTACGGGTTAATTATTAGATGATATAAATCTAGGTGGTGTTCAAAAATTTATTTATAAATATTTTTGGTTTTTTGTTTGTTTTGTTAATATTGTTTTTGTTTATGATATTATGTTAGTGGGGGGGGGTGGTGATAATTGGTTATTTTATTTTTTTTTAAGTTTATTTTTTAATAATTTTAGATAGTGCGTGGAAGTTTACTTCATATTTTTAATTCATTAATACCACGATGATGCAGTTTTATTTAAATTTTCTTAATTATTAACACCGGTATCATAATACAAACAGGGGAATTAATCAAGTTATTTATATTTTTTTTTTAAAGGGTTATTCATATAAAATCTTACATAACAAAATACAATACCAATGTGAAATAAGGATAACCAAACACCACAGAGAACTATGCCAAGGTGAGGATTTAAATGATTTGGTATTTTTTTAAGAATATGTAATTTCTAAATAAACATACACGAATAAAAATTTAAAAATAGTTTTTTATATTTTCAATTTTTTTTGTAAGAGCGATAAATAGGTATTACGGACCATTGGGTTTCCAAGCACTTCATTGTCTTTTTTAACCATTAGTAAACACACACCGAGGCGTAACAACCCGAAAACTCGCGACACAAATAATTTTATATCATTTAAGTATTCATTAAAGCGACGCGCCAATAAATTTGAAGGATGGATCAATGAGAGGAGAGCAGGGAGAGCGTCGCTACTGTTTTATTTAGGGGGGGGGGGGGGTCGGGGGGGTTAATAAAACAATCATATTTGTGTCAAATTAAGCATTCATTAATAACATTAGACAAAATATAACTACTAACTCGACAACATATACTCGCTTAACCACCCTTTCAACAAACCTACCTACACTTTCAACCCTCGATCCTTATCCCTACTACTAAACACCCCAAAAAAAAACACGAACCTTAATAACACCCCGAACCTTTAAAACTCCTCCTTACACTAAACAAACCCCCCCCCAACATCCCCCCCACTTACCAATTTCTAACTTAAAGCCCACCTCCTTTCAACCTTTAACCACGTCCCGTCGTTATGGGATAAGGGGCCTGCCGGGCCTAGAGGTTCTGTAAATTTGGATTTTTTTTATAACCCGCCCCTTCGGTTACCACCCTACCAGATCCGCTAGAGCCCAGGTTTTAAAACTTATATATAAAACAAATTAGACGATTTTATGGTATAGTGTAGGATGTTGTAAATGAAGGATTGTGGTAGGTGGGGGGGGGGGGGGGGAGAAATGTGTAGAGAAGGTTAATATCTTAATACAATTTAAATAAAAGGGCTACTGAAGTGTGCCCAAACTAGACCTAGAGGTGCCGACAACCACCGTAGGTTACAGCTACACCACCGCTACCATTCCCACCACCTTACAATTCAGCTCCTATCAGTTGTACGTCCTGCGGGGACGACAATCACAACGGCCACCAGCCCAGGCGCCCCCCTTACACCGCACTTGCCTTTCTAACCTGAGTCCCTCAGGGCGTGGATAGACCACCATCTTCTCAAACGGGTCATCTCCCTCCTACCACCCTTTTCCTCTTAACCCACCCTCCACTCCCGCCCGTCCTGGGGGAGTACTCACTGCTTTCTAACCCATCTTTGTTCCATGGGCTGGTGGGAAAACCTGTGAACTTCTAAACGCTCGACCCAGGCCATAACCTGGGAGGGGCGTAGTGTGAATTATAAGGAACTGGGCCCCCCAGCCGTCGCAACCTACTCCCCCCCCCCCCCCCCCCCCCCCCACCCCACCCCCCCCCCCCCCCCCCCCCCCCCCCCCCCCCCCCCCACCCCCCCCCCCCCCCCCCCCCCCCCCCCCCCCCCCCACCCCCCCCCCCCCCCCCCCCCCCCCACCCCCCCCCCCCCCCCCCCCCCCCCCCCCCCCCCCCCCCCCCCCCCCCCACCCCCCCACCCCCCCCCCCCCCCCCCCCCCACCCCCCCCCCCACCCCCACCCCCCCCCCCACCCCCCCCCCCCCCCCCCCCCCCCCCCCCCCCCGCCCTCCCCCCCCCACCCCCCCCCCCCCCCCCCAGCCCCACGAAAAGAGGTGCGAGAAAAAAATTTTCATTTTATGATATTGGGGTAATCAACCAATTGTCTTTAACACCAACCACCCCTACACCCCTCCCAACACCCTCTCTCAACTAAACGCCTGTCGCCTTTACATTTCAAGCACAACTACTGGACCCACCCACGCGTCCACCTCCACTCCTCTCCCTCGTTAGAAAGGAAAACCAACTATTTAAGCCCCCCTTCCACCTCCCCCACCACTTACCCCCTCCTCGATACCCCGCCTCCCCTCTAACTCTCTGTACAAAACGCCTGAACCTCGAAGAAAAAAAACAAGGTATTGAGTTAAACCCTCGAATCACGGGGGGGGTGGTTACCGTTATAACCCTAGCTAACTTATTTAAACTCGTGTCTTTGTGAAAACTTTAACGAGTTTTGTGTTATTTATTTTTTAACCTTTAACTCTTTATTTCTTCCATTCCTACTACATAGACATTAGTCTCATTCGATTCCCCCGAATTTCATAAACTGTTTTTTTTTTTACTTCTGTCCCTTAACCACAACATGTAAAAAACACAAAAAATTAAGGGGAGTTCTTGGGCTCGCGCTATAAATGTTTATTATCTACTCTACTTACTAACATCTAAGACAACTGTTAAAATTTTTATCAATATTACTAAAATTCAACTTAAAACATCACAAACACCAAAATAATAAGCAACCAATAATACCGTCTAAAATTATTTACTAAATTAACCTCTTTAATCTCTTTTAACGATCACCACTGTGCACGTTCTAACCCCCCATTTCTATCCCATCCTGTTGCATCTTGTTTTCTTTTTTTCTCTGTCCCCCCTTTTTTGTCTGTTTTTTGGATTGGTGGTGAAATAGTTTTAATGCTTGTTTTGTGGTTGTGGTGTTCTTTTTTCGTTTGTGTTTTGGTTTCTGTGTTTTTTAACAACTGTTCACCATTTTTATTCATTTCTCATTACTTCTGTGCGACGCCTAGGCGAGATCAGCCGCCTGTGAGAACCGACGAGGAAGGACGGGTCCGTGTGGAGCTTGTCAGCGGGGCGGCGAAGAAAAGTGGATGGCAGAGCTGACGCGGTGTTGGGGGAGGCGTGTTGGGGCGGTGCGTGGGATGGGAGTGATGACACGGGGGGGTGAGTTGAGGCGAGGGTGCCAGCGAGCTGAGTCGTGTTGGAGTGTGCGACGGAACGGGGTTGGAGAAAGGGAGGGGGAGTGTGTAATGGGCTACGGTGGGTGTGGTGAGGTCTGGTGACGTTGGTGGGATGGGGCGGGAGGGGTCGGGGTGCGAGGGGGTGATGCAGGATTGCTCCTTGATGTGAGTACCAGTGGAAAAATTGAATGACCTATATCACCCGGAGAGGATTTATTAGTATAATCACGCGACTCAAACCTCGCGTGCAAAGTCTTGTCGCGGTGTCGCCTCGTCTCATCTACCTATCTCCTATGTAATTTGTTACTGGATTTTAAACAAAAATGTTTTGTAATAGAGTTAACCTCTCGTCTATCCATACCAACTGTTTTTTTCTATATACTTCCCTGTTTTGGTTTTGTGCCGCAAGCATTTAATAACGCGCGTCTGCTCTTTGGCTCATCGTCAAATTCCCCGATAAATAGAAATTCCTTCATGAGATCGTGGTTTTACAACCAATAACTATATAATATCTGATTACCCACGAGTCGTGCGTTTATAACCAGGTTGGGACCAGCGCCGCTTGCGGTGGAACTCGAGTCGCTGGTGTTTACCAATTCCTTTCTTGGTTTTTCTCTACCATTCGTCTTCTACCTCCTGTTTGTTACTTTTGCTGTATTCTGAATTCACACCATTAAAGCTATGCCCAACCCCCAACGCTTCTTCTGTTAACATACCCCCGCACTCACACTTACTGTCCTGACCACCCTTTTTTTTTTACTTTTATTTTTTTCTAACCTTCTTATTTTTGTTTTTTATTTTTATTCTCTTTTCTTTTTCTCCCCAATTTTTTTCTATTTTCCGACCCCCCTTACCCCCTCCGTCACCTATGAACCTCCGCCCACACACACACACCCCCACCACTCCCCTTACCCGTTAAACGCGCTCTTCCCACCTTACTTTGTTTTTTTTCTCCTCGGCTTTACTTTGTCTTTTTGTCAGCTTGTTGTGGGTTCTTTGGTGTGGTGGGGCGCGCCTCCTAGAATGTGAAAAGAAAGTAGACTAATATTATCACCAGGCCTGCACCCCCCTAGACTAAGTGTTAATTCTTTTTCCCGTCTTCTTTTTGCCCGTTTTTTTAACTCTTCGTAATTGTTGCTATAAACCAAACCCCGCTAACACTAAAAAATCAAAATGCCTATAACAAAATGAACAAAAATCCCAAAACCCCTTCATAACATCACCATAAACCCCCAACCCACCATCACAGCCAAAACCCACTTTTATCTTACGCCACCCCCCCCACCCCACCCCCCCCCCCCCCCCTCCCCCCCCCCCCCCCCCCCCCCCCCCCCCCCCCCCCCCCCCCCCCCCACCCCCCCCCCCCCCCCCCCCCCCCCCCCCCCCCCCCCCCCCCCCACCCCCCCCCCCCCCCCCCCCCCCCCCCCCCCCCCCCCCCCCCCCCCCCCCCCCCCCCCCCCCCCCCCCCCCCCCCCCCCCCCCCCCCCCCCCCCCCCCCCCCCCCCCCCACCCCCCCCCCCCCCCCCCCCCCCCCCCCCCCCCCCCCCCCCCCCCCCCCCCCCCCCCCCCACCCCCCCCCCCCCCCCCCCCCCCCACCCCCCCCCCCCCCCCCCCCCCCCCCCCCCCCCCCCCCCCCCCCCCCCCCCCCCCCCCCCCCCCCCCCCCCCCCCCCCCCCCCCCCCCTCCCCCCCCCCCCCCCCCCCCCCCCACCCCCCCCCCCCACCCCCACCACCCCCCCCCCCCCCCCACCCCCCCCCCCCCACCCCCCCCCCCCCCCCACCCCCCACCCCCCCCACACCAACCCCCCCCCCCCCCCACCCCTCCCCCTCCCACCCCCCTCCCCCCCCTCACCCGTCCCACCCCCCCCCCCCTACCCTCCCCCCCCCCCCCTCCCCCCCCACCCCCCACCCCCCTCCCCACCACCCCCCCCACCCCACCACCCCCCCACCCCCCCCACCCCCCCCCCCCCCCCCCTCCCCCCCCACACCCCCCCCCACCCTCCCCCCCCCCACCCCCCCCCCCCCCACTCCCACCCCCCCCCCCCCCCCCCTACCCCCCCCCCCCCCCCCCCCCCCCCCACCCCCCCCCCCCTCACCCCCCCCCCCCCCCCCCCCCCCTACCCCCCCCACCACCCCCCCCCACCCCCCCCCCCCCCCCTCCCCCCCCCCCCCCACCCCCCCACCCCCCACCCCCCCCCCACCCCCCCCCCCCCCCCCACCCCCCCCTCCCCCACCCACCCCCCTCCCCCCCCCCCCCCCCCCCCCCCCCCCCCCCCCCCCCCCCCCCCCCCCCACCCCCCCCCCCTCCTATCAAGCACTCCCACATCCGCCTACCTCGCCCCCTCACAGCATCCGGGCACCCCCACCCCCTCACCCTACCAAATCTCATCCCAACCACTTACATCCTCCACTCGCCACACACCTACCACGCCTCACCCCCTCAAACTCGCCCAACCCAACCTATAATAAAACGCACCCCTCTCCAACCCCCCTCATTACTCACCCTGACCAAACCTCTATACTCCGCCACCCCCCAGGCACCAAACCACCCTCCCCACACACGCCTTCCCCCCCCCCACCTCCCGCCCAAATAAAGGACTCCACCTACTTCAAAGTATAACCTCCACACAGGCACACGAAAAACCTCACCGTACCTTCACCCCCGCCCTCGCCACCAAATCCACACCCTCCCCCGTCATTTACACCCGAAAGAACAAAAACAAACCTACTATACACCCCCCTA